AAGAGTCAGACGCTTAGCCTACTGAGCTACCCAGGCACCCCTGTGCAGAAGCTTTTGATTTTAATGAAGTCCCAATAATTTATTTTTTGCTTATATTTCCCTTGCCTTAGGAGACATATTTCGAAGGAAGTTGCTTTGGCTGATGCTAAAGAGATTACTGCCTGTGTTCTCCCCTAGGATTTTATGATTTCAGGTCTCACATTTAGATCTTTAACCCTTTTTGAATTTACCTTTGTGTCTGGTGTAAGAAAGTGGTCTACGTTCATTCTTATGCATGTTGCTGTCCAGTTTTCCCAACACCATTTGTTGAAGAGACTTTTTCCCATTGGATAGTATTTCCTGTTTTCTTGGAGATTATTTGACCATATAGTTGGAGATTAATTGACCAGAATAATTTTTAAAAGAAAAATATAAATTACCATACTCATGTGGATTGAATTATGGAAAGAATAGACCAATAACTGAAGAAATTGTTAAAGAGCTCCCAGGAAAAAATATAACAAATTTAAACAGCTTCATAAGCTTAGCTCTATCAAGAATCAAAAAATTTCTATGTTATCTGAAAATTTTCAGAGTTCCCACTTCCAAATGGTCAGTTGAGCACACACATTTCCTTCCTTCCTTTCCTAAAATCTCTTTCAAATGTCATTAAAGCTATACAAAGAAGTATAAATCCATAACAACATGGAGAATGGAAGTGGGGGAAATAGATAACTTGAAATTCTGTTGACTTTTTGTAAGAGGGAAAGATGTCTGGGTGGTGGTGATGCATAAACCAAAGAGGAAAAAAATCGTGGCCCTCAGAGACAAAATCCTAGAGAAGTTCTAAATGAAATAATGCCTGTTGTGGTCTTGTGAAACAGTATTTATGGTATTTAATAAAAGTGCTGTACAGCTTTATTTCTATCTTATAACAGACATACAAGCCTCCATTCTGTTCTTTAAACACATATGGTCCTTTAATTTGAGGCATTTGTTCTTACTCTTCCATCAGTCTGAAATATCATTCCTCCAGCTCTACACTGGCTAGTTGAATCTCATTCTTTTAGCCATCAGATCCAATACTACTCTGGAGAGATGTTCTCTATAAATGTTCTATCTGAGGTGGCCCAAGTTTATCTTTTTTTTTTAATAAAGATTTTATTTGAGAGAGCATGCACAAGAGAGAGTGAGCATGAGCGGGGGGCGGGGGAGGAAGACAGGAGGAAGGTAAGAGGTAGAGGGAGAAGCAGACTCCCCAATGAGCAGGGACCCCGATATGGAGCTTAATCACAGGACCCCAGGATCATGACCTTAGCTGAAGGCAGATGCTTAACTGAGTGATCCACCCAGGTCCCCCTGTTACTCTATCTTATACTTCATTTATTCCTCTTATTGTTTTATTTCTACATGCAACCATTGTTTTTATTTACTAACCTTTTAATTTTTTCCCCACCTGTCCCAACCCTTAGAATAAAAGCCCTGTGTAACCAGGGATCTGTCTTCTTCAGTATTAGTACACAAGGTATAGCAAATAGTAAGGGTTCAAGAAAGAGAAAACAGAAGAAATGGAGGAAAAGTGATAAATGAAATTATAGATTTTTTTTTTCCCCTAGCACTTGATGACTAGAGCCTTTGGGTTGAAATTGCCATCAAATGATAAGTAGAATTTAAGGGGGGGAGTTATTGATTAACTCAATACGGATTACCATCAGAAAATCAATTAACTTAATACACCATATTAAAAGAATAAAGCACAAAACCCCCATAAGATATTAAAGACACAGAAAAAGCACTTGATCCAACTTATGACAAAAACTCTTAATAAACTAGGAATAGAATGGACCTTCCTCAAACTGATAAAGAGAATCTATGAAAAACCTACAGCTAAAAATCATACTTAATGATGAATGACTGATTAAGATTCCTCTTAAGACTGGGAACAAGGCAAGGATGTTTACTCCCATCACTACAATTCAACATTGTACTGGAAGTTTTAGTCAGTAAAATAAAATATAGAAAAAAATAAAAGAAACCTTGATTTTGAAAGGAAGAAGTAAGGGTATTCACAAACAACATAATCCTCCATATGGCAAAATCTTAAGGAATCCACAAGAAAACCACTAGAACTAATAAATGAGTTAATTAAATGCACAGGATATAAGACCAAAAAGTCATAGTATTTTAAGTATATACAAAAAATCATTTGGATTTCTATATACTAGCAGTGAGTAGAAGAAAATAAAATTGAGAAAACAATGTCAAGATTGCTTTGGGTATTTGGGATCTTTTGTGGTTTCATACAAATTTAGGATTATTTGTTCTACTTCTGTGAAAATGCTGGTGGTATTTTGATAGGGACTGCATTAAATGTGTATTTTTCTATGGGTAGTATGGACATTTAAACAATATTTGTTCTTCTAACTCATGAGTACGGAATGTCTTTCCATTTCTTTGTGTCTTCTTCAATTTCTTTCATCAGTGTTTTATAGTTTTCAGAGTACAAGTCTTTCACCTCTTTGTTTAGGTTTATTCCTAGGCATTTTATTATTTTATTTTCTTTTTTGTGCAATTATAAATGAGATTGATTCCTTAATTTCTCTTTCTTCTGCTTCTTTATTGATCTATAGAAGTGCAATAGATTTCTATACATTGGTTTGTATCCTGCAAATTTTCTGAATTCATGTTATCAGTTCTAGCAGTTTTTTTTTTTGTGTAGTCTTTTGGGTTTTCTATATCCAGTATCATGTCATCTGCAAATAGTGAAAGCTTTGCTTCTTCCTTGCTTATTTGGATGCCTTTTAATTTCTTTTTGTTGTCTGATCTTGCAGCTAGGACTTCCAGCACTATGTTGGATAAGAGTGGACATCCTGTATAAGAATACTGATTTGAAGGGGCACATGCAATGTTGATAGTACCACTATCAACAATAGCCAAATTATGGAAAGAATTTAAATGTCCATTGACTGATGAATGGATAAAGATGATGTGGGATAGATACATACATATGTACACACATATACATACACACATATGTCCATGTATACATATGTAACACACATATAGGTACACATATGTAGGCATGTATATGTGTGTATATATGCACACAATGAAATATTAGTCATCAAAAAGAATGATATCTTACCATTTGCAATAACATGGATGGAACTAGAGGGTATTATGCTAAACGAAATAAGGCAGTCAGAGAAAGACAAAAACCATATAATTTCACTCATATATGGAATTTAAGAAACAAAACAGATGAGCATAGGGGAAGGGAAAGAAAAAGATAAAAACAGAGAGGGAGACAAATCATAAGAGACTTTTAATTAGAGAACAAATTGAGAATTGCTGGAAGGGAGGTGGGTGGGAGCATGAGCTAAATAAGTGATGGCAGGCACATGTTGTCATGAGAACTGGATGTTATATCTAAGTTATCAGTCACTAAATTCTATTCCTGAAACTAATACTACACTATATGTTAACTTGAATTTAAATAAATAATAAAATCTTAGAGGAAAAAAAAAAGTGGAATCCTTGTCTCTTCACCATAGAGGAAAAGTTCTGTTTTTCCCCATTGAGGATATTAGCTGTGGGTTTTTTATATATGGCCTTTATTATGTTGAGAGTTTTTTTTTTGTTTTTTGTTTCTTTGTTTTTGTTTTTGTTTTTTTTACCAAGAATGGATGTTGTACTTTGTTAAATGCTTTTTCTGCATCTAGTGAAATGATCATATGATTCTTATCCTTTCTTTTATTAATATGGTGTATCATGTTGATTGATTTGCAAATATTGAACCACCCCTGCAACCCAGGAATAAATCCCATTTGATTGTGGTGAATGATTTCCCCCCCAAGTTTTTCTTTAAATTTAAATTCAGTTAACATACAGTGCAATTGCACCACTAGTTATTTCCACAAAGGATACAAAAATACTGATTCAAAGGGATACATGTACCTGATGTACTTATACATGCAACTAATTCTGTTTATATGAAATATCCAGAAATATCAAACCTATAGAAGCAGTGGATGTCTGGGCTGGATGTGGTAATGAAGATTAAGCTGCCAACAGACCTAATGGATATTTTTTAGATGATGGAAATATTCTAACATTTATTTGTGGTAATGGTTGTACAGCTTTATAGGATTCCTAAACATTATAAATAAAATAAATTAATTAAAACTAGTGACCGTGGTATGTAGATAATAACTGAACAGAGCCATTTTTAAAAAGGAGAGAGAGGAATTTATAGTGAAAATATGATGCAAAGCTAAAATGTGATATAGTTTTTCTTTTTTTTTGATATAGTTTTTCTTATTCAGAGATTGCAAAAAATATAATCCATTTGCTATTTCCAGATTAAGAGCTATATTTCAACCTGTACTGAATTAGGGAAATATGACTTAATTTTCTTTCTGTGGCAACATATAAATTATTTTGTTCCAGAATGAATTACACACACACACACACACACACACACATTCAGAGTAAATATGCTTGTTATTTCTCTATTTAAAAAATCAATTTGAAATATGAAATATGGAAGATTTAATAGAATGCCTTTATTTTTTTCCAATTTTGATCTGGCTGTGAATTTACCTTTCTTTACCTGTGTTACACTTAAAGCTTAGTGGCCCAGGGAACTAACTTAATATTCAGTTTAAATAAGGACTTCATTTTCCTCATTTATAAAACTGAGATAATAATAGCTAACTTTTAGGGTGTTGTGAAGGCTTAAAATTATGTACATAAAGTTTTTTCACATAGTATGATATACCAAGATCTGGTGGTGGTGACTTCATGAAATTTATCTTAGATTTTATTATGATGCTTCCCTCCCCGCTCCCCCACCTCCCAGTCTGTGAAAATAACTTTGGTACAGAAACATATTCAAAACAGCAAGCCTGACTATCTTCATTGGAGGAAGAACGGGTTTATCTTTCAGAATATAATGTTAAATGTGAACACCTGAAAGGAATAGGTTGTTTTTAAGGACCTAAGGAGCCTGAGATACTCACATGTCTTACTGCAGTTCACATATATCTTTGGAAATTGTCTGGTACACAGCTTTTTCATCTCATAGTCATTAAAGAATTTGCTGATACTCATTGCAAAGTTGTAGCTAGGAAGCATCACTAATACACTATCTATGAGGGTTCTGATGTAGTGAGGAAAATCAAGGTCTATGATGAAAAAGATGATAGATTAACTTTAATTATCAGAAAATAATGAACTTCCTATAACAACAGACTTCCCCAAGATGACTAAACATTCATCTGGTAAACCAGAGAATTATCGATCTAACAGATTATCCTTGAGAAAATATAGTTATTAAGTCACTAAACTCATTCCTCAATAGCTCATGGCATGTATTTGTCAATTACAGAGTTCAAGAGGAGAGTTTTCCAAACTGCTTCCCTAGGATCTGATTCCTTCCCTTTGTATGTGTGGGTCTGCTATTAAATCCCCCACATCTTGGCTCTAGGTCTTTCTACTCTTCTCTGTTCCCCATATGGGCTACAAAATGGAAAATTATGGGATTCTGAATTTCACTTTATTGTTGGCCTCTGCGTTCTTTTTTATTTTTAAATATTTTATTTATTTGATACAGAGAGAGACTGAGAGCATAAGCAGGAAGAGTGGCAGGCAGAGGGAGAGGGAGAAGCAGGCAGGGAGCAGGGAGCCCCATGAGGGGCTCAATCTCAGGACCCTGGAATCATGACCTGAGCTGAAGGCAGACACTTACCCAACTGAGCCACTCAGGTGCCCCAGCCTCTGCATTCTGAAATTTCTTGCTAGATCAATGAGGTATTTGAAAAGTTTAAGCAACTTTTAATCGCCAATATTTATAGAAGCATAATCAACAATGGCCAAATTATGGAAAGAGCTCAAATGTCCATCGGCTGATGAAAGGATAAAGATGTGAGATACACACACACCCATATACACAATGGAATATTATCCACCATAAAAAAGAACGAAATCTTGACATTTGCAACAACATGGATGGAGCCACAGTGTATTATGCTAAGTGAAATAAGTCAGAGAAAGACAAATACCATATGATTTTACTCGTGTGAAATTTAAAAAATGAAACAGATGAACATATGGGGAGAAAATATGAACATAGAGTGAGAAAAGAGGCAACCCATAAACAGACTCTTAACTATAGAGAACAAACTGAGGGTTGCTGGAAGGGAGGTGGGGGAGATGGGCTAAATGGGTGATGAGTATTAAGGACGGCACTTGTTGTGATGAGCACTGTATGTATGTGAGTGCTGATGTAAGTGATAAATCACTAAATTCTACACCTGAAATAAACAAATAGAAATGCTTGCAAAAAACCCCCAACAATTTAAAATCCAATGTATATTATTGTTTTACATGGAAGGTCAATTCACAATTTTCATTCCTTCATCTCTCTGAACATGGAAATCTACACTGAATTTCTCATTGCCAAATCCAATAGCCTCTGTGTCACATTTCTTCTATTTGTCCCTTCAAATTAACACTCCACCTTTCTCCATTACATTTTCTGTCTTGGGAAGATTATCTGTATAAATGTAATCAGGGATTTCTTTGCTCCCTGACTTCTGGTTGATCAAGACCCATGGGAAATTCTGTCTAGGGAAGAGGGATGTTTTACTAATATGGTCACTTTGTGAAAATTTACCAAGCTGTGCATTTATAGTCTCTGCACTTTATGCAAGTTATACTTCAATAAAAGGTAAAAATAAATACTCTTGAAGAGCTCTGTGTTGATTGTCTTCTGTAGGGTGAAGATGCTGCTAAGGTATGTTGCAATGGAATTTGGCTCCTTGGTGTCAGTGGGAACAATGGGATCCTAGAATGGAGAAGCCAGGTGGCAGAACTTACCTATTAGAAACAAGGTAGGAAATAATCAACAAGGACAGAATGGTAATCAGAGTTATTTTTTTCAACTATAGGAATGGAATTGATTTTCTAAACTCAGTATCTCTTGCAGACAAATTTTATTTTACTTTAAAAATATTTTTTTTTATTATTAGAGAGAGAGAGAGAGAGAAAGCACGAGTGTCAGCATGAGTAGAGAGAGGGGCAGAGGGACAAGCAGACTCTCCGCTGAGCTGGGGGCCTGACTTGGGGGTCCATCCCAGGACCCTGGGATCATGACCTGAGTGGAAGGCAAGACATTTAACTGATTGAGCCACCCAGGGGCCCCAACAAATTTTATTTTAATCCAAGAACTAAACCAACAGGTTCATGAAACCACACTCCAAGAGAAGAGTCTTCATAATTAGATCTGGAATTCAGAAAACTCATAGTATCTGGGTTTTAGATAAAAGCAAAATCAAGGTTGCTGCTTCAGTGTGCCCCTAGTGGCAGGAAATACGGATTCTTCTAGTTTAAGGCCATACACTATGGTCAGACAATAAAGTCTCAGAAATGAATATAATAGTGAAGATTAACATTACTACTTAACTATTATTTTCTGTTAGGAGAATCTGAGGAAGTTATAGTCTGGCTGCTTATAGGGAAAAGGATTCACTGAGAGAGAAGGGACAGAGAGCCTGCTCTGAGAAGTGACCTTCAGTTCCACCTGGGGTCAGGGAAAATAAATGGACGTTAGTGCAAGAGTCCAATGGTTTAAGTTACTAGGAGAGGAAAATTTTAGGAAATAAATACATGCAAGACTGAATGGGTAACATGATCAATTAATAGGGAGACCATGGTAGAATCTGTGGGTAGTATAAAACTGATTGATAATAGTATCATTATTGCAGGGAATGCGCATGAATGCGTAACTCCGACTTCACTTTTTGCCTATTATTCAGGGGCTCAAACCTTTCCCCCATGGCATAATACTACTTTTTGCAGGGGTGGGCAAAAGAATAAAAAAGTTATTTCTAGTTCACACACTAAATTTCATTTTGTGGAAGGCCAAGGCATAAAGTTAGGGAGAGTCTGGAAGCCTCTTTTGGTGGGATTCTGCAACTTGAGGCAGGTTGAATACAATTCAAAATTCATGTTTACAAGAAGTTAAAAAGGAATGTTCTAAAAACAAATAAATAGGGGCACCTGGGTGGCTCAGTGGGTAAACCTCTCCTTTTGGCTTAGGTCACGATCGAGTCCCGAGTCCCGAATCAGGGCTCCCCATAGGGAGCCTGCTTCTCCCTCTGCCTATGTCTCTGCCTCTCTCTTTGCGTCTCTCATGAATAAATAAAATCTTCTTAAAAAGTATTAAAACAAACAAATCTTATCTGCGATAATCAATCACCAGCAGAGTCTGCCTCTCTTTAAATTTCATAATCAGGGATCCCTGGGTGGCTGAGCGGTTTAGTGCCTGCCTTTGGCCCAGGGCGCGATCCTGGAGACCCAGGATCGAATCCCACGTCGGGCTCCTGGTGCATGGAGCCTGCGTCTCCCTTTGCCTATGTCTCTGCCTCTCTCTCTCTCTCTGTGTGACTATCATAAATAAATAAAAAAAATTAAAAAAAACTTTTTAAAAAATAAATTTCATAATCAGAGAAGAAAGATGGGATCCTGCTAAAACCAGGCCTGAAAGGAATAAACTGGTTTAATGATGATTACATTTATTGCATATTGTATTTCCTTCTGAAGAAAATTCTAATTAGGAAGTTCAAGATTATGTGCTTCATTAAATTAGGGAAGAGTCATACAGAAGACTTTCCACTCTCCAGTCTTCCCATCTTGCTCCAAAGTGCTAAAGATGGGTAAAAACTGAAGAGCCATGTCTTGAGGTGGAGATGGGGGATCTTTCAAAGGAAATCAATGATCGCGTACTTATAATCTCTTATTCTTCTAACTCTTTCTTTCATGAGGCTAGAGTGATACTGAGTCCAGAACCTTTAAAGGGCTTAAATTCTTTCTCTTTCTTCCTTTCTCTTCCCCATTTCCTCTCTCCCTCCTTCTCTCATTCAAACTCTTTCTCACATACTCATTTGATAAAAAGCACAGGTTTTCAGATTATTATGAAGTAAATGCTTAGCGATGAATATTTTTATCCTCAAGCTCTTTCATCCTCATTTATCTAACATATTTCCTAGAGAAAGGGAAAATTGTGTGAAGTTCTTACCATAGTGGTGTCTTATGATGTAAATGCTGATACTGAAAATAGTTGAAAAGTAGTTAAAGAGGGTGAGCTTGATGTAGGCAGCAGTACTACTAGAAAACAGGAAGCTTCCAAGATACATGAGAGGTACAGCAGACCAACCATACAGCATAAGGATCATCATTGTATCCAGAAAGTTGTAATTTGCAACAAATGCATCCATTCTGCAGTATGTGAACACTCCCTGAGACACAGAGTGCAGAGGTTAAGTGCAGGGTGAAGGACCTTGTGCAATAAGAAGTCAAGCCAGAAAACTTATAAAATAGCCAGCCCTGCCTTCATTAAAGCACAGAACTATTCATTACTTCAATCACTTCACCCATTAAAAATAAAGGCCTTAGTTTATCAACCTGAAGTAAACTACTTCTTCCCCAGTACCTCTTGTACAGAAAGGAACTTTATCTGTTTTGTTTTTTAAGATTTTCTTCATTTATTTGAGAGAGAGAGAGAGGGCACACACAAGTGAGTGTGTGTGGGGTGTGGAGAGGCAGAGAGAGAGGGGGAAGTGGGCTCCCCACTGAGCAGGGAGTCCAAGGTGAGGCTCTATTCCAGGACCTAGGGAACATGACCTGAGTTGAAGGCAGATGCTTAACTGACTGAGCTATGCAGGCACCCCAGAACTTTATCTCTTTTATCCATGTGCTTACCCCTAGAAACTATATAGCTTTACCTCTCCTTCTCCCTCAAATATGCATCTAAAACAAAAGAAGTTGCAAAGTTCACTAATGAGAAAAATAATTACATTAAAAGATGTTATAATCCTTGCTTGCTCTTTATACCACATCCTCAATGTCTAAAATTGGGTGTCCAAGTAAAAACTACATCTGTTTTGCTGACCCAGCAAGCTTGGATTTGCGGTATGAAAGTGGTGGAATGGGAGTGGGGTGGTGGTGCTGGTGGTGAATAGTAACAGGAAGTTTCACTTAAGCCACAATTATAAACTGTGTGATGCTGTCCAATTTCCAACCAGAGGATTCAGCATTGGGAATTAGTGCACAATTGCTTATCTATATGAGTAGAAGGGACATAGTGGGGAATAAAAATAAGGGACAAGTGACAAGTAATAGCCCTTATTTCTTTAGAGTAGTTTCTGGACCATGCATAATGCTGAGCAATCACATGGGAAGACAATTCAACAGAGACTTTTCAATGAAATATGTTCTCCCCAAATGAAAAAATATGAGGGAGAACATTTCTATAATGAGGTTTCCACAATATATTCTCTGGCATAATAAGCCAAAGTAGTTTCAAATTTCTTTACAAGTTTTATTTTGGGACACAAATCGTTGAATAGGAATTTCCTGTGGGTGACATTGTACAATAAACCTTCATGCAACATCAGTAACACTCACCAGTAGTAAGCAGCAGAAAATGGAGAAGTAGATGAGATCCCACAGAAAAGCAGAGAGCCAGTAAGTAAGTACAGAGACCCCACTCACAAATTGGATGTGCTTTCCCCTAGTTGTTCTCTCAGTCACTGTCTGAAGGCAAAAGGTACCAATCAAAACAGCCAGGCTGAAAGCCAAGCATATTACTATTTGTAATCCATTTGTAGGCCTACAGAGGATGAAATAAATGATGAAAGAAATTATGACATATAAGTAGAAAATGATTTTAGTAGCTATTTTCAAGTATATATGGTCAGCTAGCAAGGGAAATATTAAGGCTCAATTCTAGTAAAAGGAAAGTCATACATACATTATGTGAGAGCCATGAAGAGGGAGAGGTTGAGGCTTGTTGGCAACTTTAATGGAAGCATTGGGGCCAGAAAGTGACATAAAAAGAACGTTGTCTAACACTGCCAATGATGTTGCAGCTGAATGGTATGCCTTATTATTGAATAAAACAGTAAGTATTGTTTTGTTTTCCTCAACCTCAATGGAAAGTGCAGTAATGGAGAAGTCACAAAACTCTTTGTTTTCCATTAGATATTTTGTTACTTTACCTAAAATAAAGAAAGAAATTGGTCAGTGGGTCAACATGTAATAAATAACCTACTACTTAAGTTGGAGAGGAAAAACAAAAATATTTTTCCTTGTATCTTTTCCCTTTCCAGCCTCCCACAATGGTTATTTCAAATCTTTGTTTCTCCTCAAGAATTCCACTCCATCACTAATCCCTATAATAATCTCACATATAGTCTATAACTTGAAAAAAACAGTAAGTTACTAAGAATTTCTTGCTTTACTCTTGCCTAAAACAAGCATGGCTTATTCTTTTTTCAAAGTTATTTTGGTTATTCTAGGTAATTTGCATTTTAATACACATTTTAAAATTGGTTTGCCATTTCTCCAAAGTCTTTTGATAAGAATTGCATTGAATCTATAGGATCACTTTAGAGAGAACTGCTATCCTAATAATATTCAGTCTGATTTTTTAAAAAAAGTTTTTGTGTATTTATTTGGGAGCGAGAGAAAGAGAATGAGTGGGGGTGGGTGGGCAGAGGGAAAAGTAGGCTCTCGGCTGAGCAGGGAGCCCAACATGGGGCTCAATCCCAGAATCCTGGGATCATGACCTGAGCCAAAGGCAGATGCTTAACCAACTGAGCCACCTAGGCATGAAGGCCACCGTCTTCTTTTCAATGCTACTATGAGTCGCAGTAATTTGTGTTTTCCTCCTATAGGATTGTGTTCATTTCACCTAAGTTGGATTTATAAAATTCCAGTTTGGAAAGCTCTGCCTTTTTATTGGGAGTGTTTACTCCATTTATATTTAATGTAATTATTGATTTGCTAGGACTTATATTGTCATTTTGCTATTTATTTTTAAAAAGATTTATTTACTTATTAAAGAGAGAGAGAGAGAGAGAGAGAACACAGAGGCAGAGGGAGAGGGTGAGGCAGACTCCTCACTGAGCAGGGAGCCCAATGTGGGGCTTGGTCCCAGGACCCTGGGATTATGACCTGAGCTGAAGGCAGATGCTCGACTGACTGAGCCACCCATGCACCCTTGCTATTTATTTTCTATGTCTTAACTCCTTTTTTGTTCCAATCTCTACAACTGCCATTTTATGTTAAATGTATTTTGTATTATACCAATGAAATTCCTTTCTTGTTTTACTGTTTTTTGATTTATTCATTTTTATTTTAATTTATTTTTTCATTTGTTTTTATTTAAATTCAATTTGCCAACATATAGTATAATACCCAGTGCTCATCCCATCAAGTGCCCTCCTCAATGCCCGTCACCCAGTTACCCCAACCCCCTGCCCACCTCCCCTTCTGCAACCCTTTGTTTCCCAGAGTTAGGGGTCTCTCCTCTCCCTCTCTAATTTTTCCCACTCAGTTCCCCTCCTTTCCCTTATAATCAATACCTTTCACTACTTACTGTTTTTTTAAAGTTTATTTTCTCAGTGGTTGCTCTGGGGAATTACAATTTAATTAGTTCAGGTAAACGCCAACATACTTCCGATAGTGTACAGAAATTTTGTTCCAACATAGTTCCCTTCCCTCCTCCCCCCTTCGTGCTATTATCATAGTAAAAATTACACTTTTGTATAAGTCCATTAACACAGTTTCATAACTATTCTTTTATGCAATTGTCTTTTTAAATTTTTTTTATTTTTATAAATTTATTTTTTATTGGTGTTCAATTTGCCAACATATAGAATAACACCCAGTGCTCATCCTGTCAAGTGCCCACCTCAGTGCCCATCACCCAGTCACACCCACCCCCCGCCCACCTCCCCTTCAACCACCCCTAGTTCGTTTCCTAGAGTTAGGAGTCTTTCATGTTCTGTCTCCCTTTCTGATATTGTCTTTTTAAATGTGTTAGACAAAAAGAGTTAATATATATGTCTATACTTCTTTCATATTTACCTATGTAATTATCTTTCCCAATGCTCATATTTCTTTGTATGGATTGAAGTTACTAGTGTCCTTTTTTTATTTTTTATTTTTACTAGTGTCCTTTTATTTCAGTCTGAAGAAGTCTCTTTAGTATTTATTAATGGTGGATTTTTTTTTTTGCCAAATTTGAGAAGTTTTAGCCATTATTTCTTCATTTTCCCCCTTTTATCATTCTCCTCACCTTCTGGTACTCCCATTATTTATATATTGGCATGCTTGCTATTATTCCATGTTTATCAGAATTTGTCCCCCCCCCCATTTTTCTTCTTTCTGTTCCACAGACTAGATAATCTCTACAAATCCACCTTCAATATAGCTGACTCATTTTTCTGACAATTCAAATCTGTTGCTGAACTCCTCTGGTGAACTTTTAATTTCAGTCATGCTTTTCTTTTCCTACTTTTAAAAAAATTTTAAACATTTTTAGTTGTAACTCCAATTAGTTAACATACAGTGTAATATTAGCTTCAAACGTACAATATAGTAACTCAACACTTCCATATGCTACCCAGTACTCATCATGGTATATGAACTCCTTAATTGCCATCACCTATTTAGCCGATCCCCCATACTCCACCCCTATGGTAACCATCAGTTTGTTCTCTATGATTAAGAGTCTGTTTCTTCTTGATTTCTCTTCTATTTTTCCCCCTTTCCTTGTTTGTTTTGTTTCTTAAATTCCAAACATGAGTGAAATCATATGGTATTTTGTCTTTTATTTCTTTTCATTGTCTGACTGCTGTGGCTAGGACTTCCAGTACTTTGTCTTCCCCATGTGAGCTCTGTGCTGTGAGGGCCTTGTTCTCTGCCCTCTCTGCTCTTGCAGCTCCCTCCTAATTGCAGGCAGCCTCCTGCTGCCTTTCTGATCTTCCTAACCCTTCAGCTGCAATTTCTCTATATTTAGTTAGTTGTAGTTTGTTCTGCCAGTCTTTGGATCACTCTCTGGTTTGTTGACTCGGATGTGGACAATAGAGTAACAACTTTGATATCTGAACTCTCCTCCCCATCCCTTGCTTGCTGTTACTGAAAATGTGGATGGAGTCCTCCTACTCCGCCATCTTCCTTCCACCTTTTTTCCCATTCTCAGTTATGCTTTTCAACTACAAAATCCCTGTTTTTTAAAAAAATTAGTTTCTTTATCAATATTCTTTTTGTGGAGACATAGTTACTATACTTTTAATACTTTAAACATATATTTCCTTTAGTATTTTGAAAATATTTGTAATAGCTGATTTAAAGTCTTTGTCTACAAAGATACACTCAAAATGGATGAAAGATCTAAATGTGAGGTAAGATTCCATCAAAATCCTAGAGAACACAGGCAACACCCTTTTTGAACTCAGCCACAGTAACTTCTTGCAAAATACATCCACTAAGGCAAAAGAAACAAAAGCAAAAATGAACTATTGGGACTTCATCAAGGTAAGATGCTTTTGCACAGCAAAGGATACAGTCAACAAAACTAAAAGACAAGCTACAGAATGGGAGAAGATATTTGCAAATGACGTATCAGATAAAGGGCTAGTTTCCAAGATCTATAAAGACCTTCTTAAACTCAACACCAAAGAAACAAACAATCCAATCATGAAATGGGCAAAAGACATGAAGAGAAATCTCACAGAGGAAGACATAGACATGGCCAACATGCACATGAGAAAATGCTCTGCATCACTTGCCATCAGGGAAATACAAATCAAAACCACAATGAGATACCACCTCACACCAGTGAGAATGGGGAACATTAACAAGGCCGGAAACCACAAATGTGGAGAGGATGCAGAGAAAAGGGAACTCTCTTACACTGTTGGTGGGAATGTGAACTGGTGCAGCCACTCTGGAAAACTGTGTGGAGGTTCCTCAAAGAGTTAAAAATAGACCTGCCCTACGACCCAGCAATTGCACTGTTGGGGATTTACCACAAAGATTCAGATGTAATGAAACGCCGGGACACCTGCACCCCGATGTTTCTAGCAGCAATGTCCACAATAGCCAAACTGTGGAAGGAGCCTCGGTGTCCATCGAAAGATGAATGGATAAAGAAGATGTGGTTTATGTATACAATGGAATATTACTCAGCCATTAGAAATGACAAATACCCACCATTTGCTTCAATGTGGATGGAACTGGAAGGTATTATGCTGAGTGAAGTAAGTCAATCGGAGAAGGACAAACAGTGTATGTTCTCATTCATCTGGGGAATATAAATAATAGTGAAAGGGAATATAAGGGAAGGGAGAAGAAATGTGTGGAATATCAGAAAGGGAGACAGAACATAAAGACTCCTAACTCTGGGAAACGAACTAGGGGTGATGGAAGGGGAGGAGGGGAGGGGTGGGGGTGAATGGGTGACGGGCACTGAGGGGGGCACATGATGGGATGAGCACTGGGTGTTATTCCATATGTTGGTAAATTGAACACCAATAAAAAAATAAATTTATTATTAAAAAAAATAAAGTCTTTGTCTATTAAGTTCAACATCTGGCCTCCCTCAAGGATATCTACTGGCTTCATCCTTCCCCCACAATGTTTGGGCCATAGGGTTGTTTCTGTATTAGTTTTCTGGGATTTCCATAAGAAAGTACCACAGAATGGGTAGCTTAAATAACAGAAATTTATCTGCCCATAATTCTAGAGGCAAGAAATGCAAGTCAAGCTTGTCAGCAGGGTTTGCTTCTTCTGAAGGCCTTTTCTCTTTGGTTTGCAGATGGCTGTCTTCTCATTGTATCTTCACATGGTCTTTCCTCTGAGTATGAATGTGTCCTAATCTTTTCTTGCAAGGATACCAGTCATATTGGATTAGGGGTGACCCTAATGACCTAAATAAGTTTTATACTTAATTACTTCTTTAAAGAAGTTATATCCCACCCAGGGACACCTGGGTGGCTCAGTGGTTAAGCATCTGCCTTCTGCTCAAGGTAGATCCTGGGGTGCCAGGATCGAGTCTTACATCAGGCCTCCTGTTGGGAGCCTGCTTTTCCCCCTGCCTATGTCTCTTACTCTTTCTGTGTCTCTCATAAATAATAAATAAATAAGTAAGTAAGTAAGTAAATAAAATAAATAAATAAATAAATAAATAAATAAATAAATAAATAAATACCTTTAAAAATTATATCCAAATATAGTCACGTTCTGAGGTACTGGGGGTACGACTTCATTAATGAATTTTGAAGGGATACAATTCAGCCCATATTTCCTTTCTCTGTTACTATTATTGTGGAAACTGAACATTTAAGATAAATAATGTAACAACTTTGATATCTGAACTCACCTCCTCATCCCTTGCTTGCTGTTACTGCCTTTTAATTTTTTTTAACTTGTTGCTGTTCATTTGGTAGTGACTTATATGGATTAATTCCGTAGATTCGGTATCTACATGTGCAGCCACTTATTTCTCTGAAAGGCTTAAAAAATTTTGGCTTTCATTTTTAAAACTGGTTCCTAGGATTCACCCCTGGGTCAGCATAATTTAGTAATTGGCTAAAAGATTTAAGTGCCTAGAACCAGTAAATCTTCCATTCTTTGCCAAAGGGATCTGTGTATGAAGGTACACCCTTCAAATTTAAGGAAGTTTACCAGTCAGCCTCAACTTTTACTTCTTGCTTGGCAGGGTCTCAACATTAACTAGAGGTTTCTGACTGGAGTCTTTTTTCCTAGGTCATTTATGGTCATGCACACCACCATTCTGAAATTTATTCAGAACTTTTCAAAGTTCACTTTGGTTATCTAGCTCTCCAGGTATTCCTTTAAAATTAATTTTTGCCCCGTTCTTGTTTGGCTCAACTGAAATCACAGTCTTAGCCAACTGTGATGATGATGTTACCAGTAGATTGCTGCTGTATTTATTAATGCCCTGGGGGATAGGTTTTTTTTTTTTTTCTCCAAAAAGCTGAGCCCTGTGCACATCCAATAGGAACAATCCCCCGGGAATGGAATTTTTCAGAGACCTGCTATTTTAAATTATTGACAGTGCACTAGGGATGGGGGTTTTAATATAGCTCTATATAGATCAGTTTTTTTTTCAATTAATTTTAAGGCTTTTCATGGCTACCATTTCACTGAGCTGAGGAAGGAAAGTGATAGAAATAGTTCTAAGTTAAAATGCCACAGACTTTACTGTTTTTATAGAGGTTTGGTAGGGTTTTTTTTTTAAGATTTTATTTATTAATTAATGAGAGAGACACACACACAGAGAGAGAGGCAGAAACACAGGCAGAGGGAGAAGCAGGCGCCACGCAGGAAGCCTCACGCAGGACTCGATTCCGGGTCTCCAGGATCAGACCCTGCGCTGAAGGCAGCACTAAACCGCTGAGCCGCCCGGGCTGCCCAGGTTTTTTTTTTTTTTTTTTGGAAATAGAATCCTTTTAGTTTGTTCTGTACTTTTGGTTAACTTCCTGTGTTCTTTTTTTTTTTTTAAACTTCCAGTGTTCTTAATTGGCTGATTTATTAAATTGTTTTCCAAGTATTTTTGTTGCTTTTGTGAGAGAAGGAGTTCATTCCATCATACCAAAAAATTCGAATTTTCCTTTCACTAGGTTTTGGGGGTAATTTGCTACAAAGGAATAGATAATAACCTACATAAAAGGGTTGCTTTTATCATTAGGAAAGATAATGCAGAGATAGTATTTAGTATGTTTTTTTTTTTTTTACCAAAGGTAGGCAATGAACAAATTAAATTATTTATACTACCTTCTAAAAATTAGTTTTGAGGAGCCAATCTATTAAGTCTTCTGCCATCTATTTTTAAAAGATGAACATAGTAGACTGAAGGGCAAACTTCAGATCTTGGAATCAACATTTCCCCTTGAGAGCTTAGAGAAATATTTCTGTATCTTGATCAGAATAAAAATTCTATGCTAATTTCACAGCGATACAGTATTTTGGCTCTTTAACTCATCCTCTGAAAGGTTATGCAATTAGCTAAAAGACAATCTATCTCCAAATGCCTCCATTAATTGTTAACTTTTGTGGCCAGTTGTATTGAAGTATCCTTTCCCCCTCATTACCCTCCCACCCCCCAATTTAAATGCCTCTAAAATACTGGTAATTAGTAGGAAAGGAAAGAAATAGGTGACTAAATAGCATAGTTAAATTCCTTCTTTGTAAATAATATGAATGGGTCTTCATATAGCAGCAGTCTCTCTTTTTTTTTTCCTATGGGTCTTACCTGGCACTTCCCAAAGTTCTTGATTCTTTTTTTTTTAAATTTATTTATTTATGATAGTCACACACAGAGAGAGAGAGAGGCAGAAGCAGGCTCCATGCACTGGGAGCCCGACGTGGGATTCGATCCCGGGTCTCCAGGATCGCGCCCTCGGCCAAAGGCAGGCGCCAAACCGCTGCGCCACCCAGGGATCCCAAAGTTCTTGATTCTTACGTTTTAGAAAAATCTTAAGATTATTTATGAGATTCAAAGCCAAATCAGAATTCCCTGAAATTGAGTAAGGCACAATTGTTCGACCATATTGACTCAAGTCCAGTTCTCTGGTGGGTAGGTCATAATGGAACTGTACAGTTAATAAGAGATACGTAGTGAATACCAAAATTACTGATATCTGTAGCAACATCAACTTCCAATTGCGCCAAGTGAATAGTGCTCTCTTTATAAACATGGAATGAAATTGCTGACAGTAAAGTGGAAACTAAAAAGAGGAGAGAAACATAGGAGAAGCATTATGGTGGGTGGTGACCCAAGTAGGAAATTCATAGTGAAATCCATTAATATAAATGCTCCAAATTTTTATCACACAGATATACACATATATACAAATATATCCTTAAGCCCAAGAAAATAAGATGGCATAAAATTTTATTTGTGCAAGGTATTAAAGGAAATGATTAATATGTAGTTTCTGATCTAACTACATTGAAAATCTTATCAAGACTATTTTATTCATCAATATACTTACAGTCCTTCTGATCAGAAAAACAAAATTATATTAATTTATTTTATTTAACATTAAACCATAGTCTATTTGTCAATTTTAGAGGAAAATATCCCCATAAAATTTGTATATAACTATTATGCTTTGCTAAGTTTTGATATACAAACTTTGGTTCATCATGAGAAAATGCCCCTAACCTGGTCAGTGAATATCTTCTGATTATAACAGTCATAACTTTTGGGTCTTGTCTTGGAACTGAACAAAGGAGAAATTTATAAGAAAATAAATGAGAACTTTTCAAAGTGATTCTGGGAATTAACAATAGTGAAATTAGCAGCTATGACCTTTATCCAGAACCCATTTCTCCTGCTTCAGGAGATTAATGGGATTGTAACACACATTTGTTCATATCTGTCTGGGTCTTCTATGTCTAAACTCCAAACACCTTTAAGTTCAAATATTAAACAAAATTTACATATTGTACCCAAACCAAACATACTTTGCTCACCCCAGTATTAACTTTAATGTTAGCCATTTCATTCAATCTAGAATAAACAGATGTCTCATGATATCTGGGCATATTCATATTCCACTTCATATCTTGTCCCATTTTTTGGTCCTTCAAGAAAGGGAAGTGGGTAGCCTGAATATCCATTTGGGAATCTGCCAGGTTATTGACCCTACAAACACACATAAACAACAAAAAGCACAAAACATTTCATTTTGAGTATAGCCTCAATCTGTTTTATTTAGGGAAAGTCACACAAGGTTCCAAATTTGGAAGAATCCTTGATCTTTCTCATTGGTTATAAGGTATACTGTATAGAGGCAGCACGATAACAGTGGGTCTCAGTAAAACAGAGGGCTGCTGAAAATCCATCGAAAGTTTATACTACTCTGAGACAATATGAGAAAAGCAATTTCAATACACTGTATGTTTCATAAACTGAACTTATTTAAAACTTACCTCTAAATCAAAGATAATAACTATCCATTGGGGGCTAAAATGTTCTTTGTTTTGTGAAATGATGGGGAAATTTATAGAGTTTTGTTTTGTTTTGTTTGTTTTTTTTAGATATACTGCCTCTTTCTAAAACTGGCTCCATGTGTGTAGATACTTGAAAGAGATGAAGAGATATATATGAGTAATTATAATTTAAGGAGAAAAATTATAAGAAGAAAAATGGAAGAAACAATGTATCACAGTATATTGAGAGGAAAGATTAATTATTGGTCAAAGTGGTAAAACCCATAGTAGAAAATATATGATTTAAAAGGTGTATTTTTTCTAAATCACAGGATTATCAAAATATTTTCAATACTCTTCTCGTTAGCATTTGTATGAAAAAGAACATTAATAAATTCTGAACTATGACAATCAAAAGCAATGAGTAGATTGATACGACTTCTGCACCTTAAAAATACATTAAATACATATTTAAAAATCTACTTTAAGATATTCTTGCAGCATGTTTATTGTTTGATGCTAAAAGTTTGAGGACTATTATGATTTTTTTAAAATAATAAATTTATTTTTTATTGGTGTTCAATTTGCCAACATACAGAATAACACCCAGTGCTCATCCCATCAAGTGCCCCCCTCAGTGCCCAGCACCCATTCACCCCCATCCCCCACCCTCCTCCCCTTCCACCACCCCTTGTTCATTTCCCAGAGTCAGGAGTCTTCATGTTCTGTCTCCCTTTCTGATATTTCCTACCCATTTCTTCTCCCTTCCCTTATATTCCCTTTCACTATTTTTTTCATACTCCCCAAATGAGTGAGACCATATAATGTTTGTCCTTCTCTGATTGACTTATTTCACTCAGCATAAGAAGTATTAGGGTAACAGCAGACCTCTCCACAGAGACCTGGCAGGCCAGAAAGGGCTGGCAGGATATATTCAGGGTCCTAAATGAGAAAAACATGCAACCAAGAATACTTTATCCAGCAAGACTCTCATTCAGAATGGAAGGAGAGATAAAGAGCTTCCAAGACAGGCAGGAACTGAAAGAATATGTGACCTTCAAACCAGCTCTGCAAGAAATTTTAAGGGGGACTCTCAAAATTCCCCTTTGCTTTTAAAATATAATGATTAAATATTTTTCTCTTTCATTTTTCTTAAGTTTTTTGTCTTCATATTTTATTTAATGGTAATAAATTTCTATTAGGAAAACACTGGAGAATATAAATAAGTGCAAATAAGTGCAAAGGCAAAATATCTAGTACCTAGAGATAGCACTGATATTTTTCAAATACCTTTATAAAAGGCACAAACATAATACATTCTCTTAAAAATGGCAAATGGGGATGCCAGGGTGGCTCAGCAGTTAAGCATCTGCCTTTGGCTCAGGTTGTGATCCCAGGGTCCTGGGATCAAGTCCCACATCAGGCTCCTCACAAGAAGCCTGCCTCTCCCTCTGCCTATGTCTCTGCGTCTCTCTCTGTGTCTCTCATGAATAAATAAATAAAATCTTTAAAAAGGTGGCAAATGGATTATATTTAGTCCATTTATTTTCTTTTTATCTTATTTTCCAGCTTTTTTGAAATATAACTGACAAATAAAAATTATATGTTTAAGGTATAGAACATGGTGTTTTGATATATGCATATGTATAATTGTAAAATGATTACCATAATCAAGCAAATTAATGTATCTACTGCACATGCTTTTTTTGGTGATAAGAACATCTGAGATTTATTCTCTCATCAAATTTCAAATTTGCAATATATTATTAAATATAGTCATCATGCAGTACTTGTGGAAACCAAGAAGTCTCCCAAACTGACTCATAACTGAAAGTTTGTATCCTTTGATAAACATTTCCTACTTTCTCCACCTCTTTGCACCTAATAACCACCATTCTATTCTTTATTACTGTGAATTCAACTTTTTTAATAATAAATTTATTTTTTATTGGTGTTAAATTTGCCAACATACAGAATAACACCCAGTGCTCATCCCGTCAAGTGCCCCCCTCAGTGCCCGCCACCCAGTCACCCCACAGAGAAGTAAAATCATGCAGTATTTATCTTTCTCTGTCTGGCTTATTTCACTTAGCATAATGTCCTCCAGAGATCCCAGAAATAAACATACACTTATATGATCAACTAACCTACAATAAAAGAGGCAAGAATATACAATATTTTGTCTTTTCAGAATTGTTGGGAAGACTGGACAGCCATATACAAAAGAATGCCACTGGATCACTTTCTTATGCCATACACAAAAATAAACAAAATGGATAAAAAACCTAAATGTGAGACCTGAAACCATAAAATTCCTAAAATAAAAGAGGCAGTCATCCCTTGGACTTATGTCTTAGCAACATATTTGTGGATATATTTTCTGAGTCCAAGAAAAAGAAAGCAAAAATAAATTATTGGGACTAAACTAAAATAAAAAACTTCTGCACAGCAAAGGAAGCCATCAACACAAGTAAATGGCAATTTAGTGAATGGGAGAAGATATTTGCAAATGACATATCTAACAAGTGTTTAGTATTGAAAATACATAAAGAACTTATGTAACTCAATATGCATATACATATGCACACACACAAAATCGGATTAAAAAATAAATAGATTTGAGGGGAGGTGGGAGGGGTCATGGGGTAACTGGGTGATGAGCATTAAGGAATGCACATGATGTGATGAGCACTGAGTGTTATATGCAACTGATAAATTATTGAATACTACATTTGTGATTAATGATGTACTATATGTTGGCTAATTGAGTTTAAAAATAGATAGATAGATAAACAGATGGCCTGAATAGAGATTGTTTCAAAGAGCACATACAGATGGCCAACAGACACATGCAAAGATGCTCAACATCATTTATCATCAGGGAATTGCAAATCAAAATCATAAAGAGATGTCACCTCACACCTGTCAGAATGGCTAAAATAAAAAAGACAAGAAACAATAAGAATTGGTGAGAGTGTAGAGGAAAGGAACCCTTGTGCACTGTTTGGTGGGAAGCTAGTGCAGCCACTGTGGAAAACCATATAGAGGTTTCTCAAAAAGTAAAAATAGAACTACCATATGATCCAGAAATTCCACTTTTTTGCAAAGAAAAAAAAACACCAATTTGAAAAGATATATGCACCCCTATGCTTATTGTAGCATTATTTACAAAAACCAATATAAAAGTAACACAAGTGTTCACTGATAGTGCATAAATAAGATATGACACACACACACACACACACACACACACACACACTATAATATTACCCAAAATAAAAGGGTGAGATCTTGCATTTGCAATAACATGGATGGATCTAGAGAGTAAAATGCTAAGTAAAATAATCAGACAGAGAAAGATAAATACCACATGATTTCACTTATTTGGGGGATCTAAAAAACAAAACAAATGAACAAATAAGCAAAACACCCCAGCCTCTTAAATGCAGAGAACAAAATAGTGGTTGCCAGAGGGAAGGTAGGTGTGAGGATGGGTGAAATAAATGAAGGGGATTAAGAGGACAAAGTTACAGTGATAAAATAAATATGTCATAGAGATGAAAAGTTCAGCATAAGGAATATAGTCAATAACATTGTAATAACATTGTAATAACATTGTATGGTGATAGATGAGGGCTACACTTATTGTGGTAAGCACTGAGTAATATACAGAATATTTGAATTACTATGTTGTACACCTGAAACTAACATAACATTGTATGTCAGTTATACCAAAATAATAAATTTTTAAAAAGGCATTATCAACAGAGTAAAAATGCAACAGAGACAAAATATTTGCATATCATGTTTCTGAGAAGGAATTAATATCAAGAATATATAGAAATATTATAAAACACAACAATGATAAAGAAATGACCTGATTTAAAACATGGGCAAAGGAGGGATCCCTGGGTGGCGCAGCAGTTTGGCGCCTGCCTTTGGCCCAGGGCACGATCCTGGAGACCCGGGATCGAATCCCACGTCGGGCTACCGGTGCATGGAGCCTGCTTCTCCCTCTGCCTGTGACTCTGCCTCTGTGTCTCTCTCTGTGTGACTATCATGAGTAATTAAATAAAATCTTTAAAAAAAATAAAATAAAACATGGGCAAAGGAGAGAGGGGTCAGGAAGATGGAAGAGTAGGATGATCTTAAAGCTCATCTCATTTTATGGACACACCAACGTAACAGCTACATCTGTGCAACTAACCATGGAAACAACTTGAAGATGGGCAGAAGAGACCTTCCACAGTTAATCATAGACAGGAGGCCACATTGAAAAGTGTAGGAGGTGTGGAAACACTGTTGGGAAGCAAACCTCTGGAGAGACTAACTAAAAACAGGAGGGATACGAGAAGCACAGAGAAGTTAGAGGATCAGATTCTACACCAGGGATCTCAGGCCCTGGGGATCCACATGGTGAAGATGAGTCCCTATAAAATCTGGCTTTGAAAACCAGTAGGGTTTAACTTCAGGAGCTTTGAAAATTGGTGGGGCTTAATGCCAGGTAATTTACCTCTGGCAGAATAGGAGGGAAAATGGATACTGAGTCTTTAACCTTAAAGAGCCGGGATTTTAAATAACAGCCTGGGACACAGCAAAGAAGCAGCAGATTGAAAAGCGCCCAGAGTATAGATGAAAAAGAGTTATTTGCTGATCTCAGAACATGCCATGGAAGTGGGAGGAATCTTCAGGAGATTTCTTCAAGAAAAAATT